GCGACTCACCAATAAAGGAAAAGGCACTTGCGGAGATCTTTCAATTCAGTTTATTGATCGAAAGTTGTCCGTTTTTTACTTTCAACACACGTATGAAAAAATTACCTTAAATTCGTTTACCACTACTTATTTGGTCACTAAACTATTTCACTCCTCCTCTTATTCATATATATAAAAAATTGCTAGTGGGTTTTTTGGGGGGTTTTTTTGAAACAAGAAAAAATAAACAACAACTGTCCATAACAATAAAAATAATAGGCTACCAATAAACTTCTATGGCTTCAACAGGTGGCATTTTATGCAAGGTATCGAATGAATAACTCCATTGCTATTGGTATCACTTTAAAGGGACTATATTTACGTTTTTCAATAAAATTAATCAAATTTTGATTGTCTCATTGTCAATGGGCTCAACACTCACTTAGAAATGAAGCACACATCTGTTTTCTCCTTTGCTTGCATCAGCCACTATTCTGCTTTTAATGTGAGGTCTCCGGGTCGGATTCAGCCCTGTGCGCGCTACTGAGCGGCTCTTGTACTACAGCGACAACACGGCAACTAACGACATGCAGTCCACTAACACCACAAAACAACGGGCTCACCGCAAAACACAGGCTCCACGTAAGGATACAAAACCACAATAAAGGCTTATGTGCTGAAGCCCATCAGACCTAACAGGTTCAGATGATGTTGAGTAAGAACAAAGTGAGCATTAGCAAAGCTGGAGAAACACAGAAAGTCACGTTTGCTCGTCGGCTAACGCCGAGCAGTTGCTAATGTTATCCGGTGCAAAGTTATATCACTTTCCACATTACTTCACCAGCTAACGTGACCGTGTTACTATCCTGTGTACTACTGTTGATTTAGCCTGTAAGAAAGGATGTAATGGTAAAAAGCAAATGTGGAGAGATTTGTTTACTAACGTTAGCCTGTAGTGGAACAGCCAGCTAACGCTACAGCAGCTTGGACCTGCTGCTGTTTGCTTCTTAACATTCAGTTTGTTTATTGTGGTTCTACCAATACTCAGGTACACCTCTCCACCTCTCAGTCGGTGTAACTAACTTGACCCACATAATATAAAACACTGCAACAAAACAGTCACAACAACACAGAGAAAGAGCCATCTACTATCAGTAGTTACAGTAAAGTTACTGCAGTCTAGCGGTTATAAAGTGTGACACAATCTCGTTATAATATTCAGTCCAGCTCACTAACCGTTTCATTATCATCCAATACATGTAGCTGTGCTGACATTGCTGAGCCTCCGGTGACAGATTCACAGATAGTAGTTTAGATAGTAGGGAGTTTACCTGAGTTTCCAGCTCTGTCTGTTCTCCCTGTCTGTCTATAGCCGCTGTCACTCTGCCTTTTTTTGGGAGAATTGTGCCAATATGCGGCTCGCTGCGCTGAATGAAAGGTACGGCGCCGGTGTTGATCTGCCTCTGAGACGGGAACATTGAAGTAACAGAGCCTGAACAGGTCTGAGTGAAAAGCTAGTGGCCGCTGGAAACTCCGTAATGCCCCTTTAAGGGTACTGGTAGCATAAAATTTTAAACGATACCCAACCCTAAGATTAACTAATATGTTTTTATTTTCTCAGTTCGCATCTCCAACCTGATGAGAGTGCTGGGGACGGAGGCGGTTCAGGACCCCACGAAGGTAGAGGCCCACGTCAGAGCACAGATGGCCAAGAGACAGAAGTTAGTAACACAATTAACCTCTATGCTGCTTGTCCCCCACTCTCTCCTCATCTCTTGCACGAGGGATGTGTGATATTGCGGTAAAATAATATCACAATATTTCAGGGTATTTCTGTAATAATTATATTCTTGATGTTATGGCAAAATACTGAAGCCAAAATACTTTTGGTTTAGAACTCATATTTGTTGAGCTCTCCTCAATGAATTTTTGGCTGATCTCGTACTTAACAGGAAGCTTCTGCTTGAGGTGGTAAAAATAGTTTTTTTGCATTGCCCCCCCTGTTGTTGTCGTTGTTGTTGTTAGTCTTCTTGCACTTCTTACATATTACCATGGTTTGTCGTATATCTTTTGTAACAAAACTGAAATCGCTCCCCTAGAACTAACTCTTCCATCGTGGTGCCAGTTACTTTCATCAGCCATGCTTGTTATTGCAGTGTTTAGTCAGAATAATTTTCATATTGTACCAAAATGATATAACGTGATATGACATACCCCTATCTTGCACTACTCTGAATTTCCATTTAACATTTTATGATAATCCAAGAACAACTAAAGCATTCTTTTAAGATTTTTCTAATTGTGTCCTTTGCAGGGCTCATGAGGAGGCAAATGCAGCCCGTAAGCTCACATCGGAGCAGAGGAAAGAGAAGAAGGTCAAGAAGTTAAAAGAAGACGTCACGAATGGTGTTCATATTGCAGTGTACAGGTGTGGATTTGTAGGGAGACCACATAGTGTAGTTCAAATATATGTATCAAATCAAGAGTGTGTGGGTGTACAGTGTCACAACTTAGAGGTGTGTCTAATTTAAGCACCTTAACTTCCCTGCACAGGATCCGTAACCTGCAAAATCCTGCTAAGAAGTTTAAAGTGGAGGCCAATGCCAACCAGCTGTACCTGACGGGCACAGTAGTTTTGCACAGAGATGTCAACCTTGTTGTGGTGGAGGGAGGTAAGGGAACACTGACAAGCCCCAAATCACACAATCAGTACTGGGAGTAAAATGTTTTCTCTTTCATATAGCACAGCTTTTAAAGACATGTAATCTGTAATAAACACTTTCTCTGACGGGGAAAACATAACTGTGGTATGAAGATTTAACACCAATCATTAACTGATTTATTTCATTTTTTCCAAATAGTGAAATTTTTAATAATCAACTATGTACATAAGTCTGTGTTGCATAATTACTGGATGGATCTGTTTCGTCAGTAATCTCATTATGGGCTTTTGTTTTTTCATTATGGGCTAGACATGCATTTTTAAGTGCTCACTGGTCTGCACCTTGTCGTGTTTATGTTCTCAAAAACCTACTTTGAGGTTCATTACTCAAAGTAAAATATTTCAAGCCATTTTTCATCGTTACAGCTGACAGCTCATGGAAATCAAAACTCCAGTATCTCAAAAGGTTTTCGAATAAAGAATTTATAATGCAGAAATGTCGACCTGAGAAATGCTCTAATCAGCTAATTAACTCACTGGCAAAGGTTTCCTGAGCTTTTAATTTCTCAGTCTGGTTCTAGTGCTCAAAATGAACTTTTCCACCATATTCTATTTTTTTAGATGCACCTGAACCAAATTAAATAAAATGGAGTTTTGTGTCGCTGTCGGTGAGGACTTAACAGAATGTGAAAGAAGATACACATGACATGTTTATGGTTGCAGGTGAGAAGGCAACTGATGCAGTAGCAGCGGGCACGAGGAAAAGGGTCCAAACTTAGTATAGACAAATCATTTATGTGCCTTCGGCTTTGTCATTGACTAAACAGGCTGTAACTTGGAAGTTTTCCTTCTGAACTACAGTACTGCGTTAGTAAGTGTGTCAATGTTTTAGCATTTTGAGCTCAATAATCCTTTGTGTGTTATGTCAGTGTAAGCCCAAAGAACTAATACTAATGTCATGGTAAACATTGTTAACGACTACATGGTAGTACGTGGTGTTTTAAAAAAAAAAAAAAAAAACAAAGGCTTAGAGTCAATTTTAAGTGGTTAAGGTTCTACAAGATTTTATCTTCCCTGCTACCCTTTGAGAAAATAAAGTAGTAGGACCATCAAAGTCATACTCAAAAACAGAATCTGTCCTTTCCTTTAGGCCCTAAATCACAGAAAAAGTTCAAGAAGCTGATGATGCACAGAATCAAATGGGAGGAACACAACAGTAAAAGAGATGGTAAGAGGAGCTTGACTTTTGTGCTTGTTGTCATGCCTTTGTGCTTTGTGATTTCAAGGATACTGAACTCTAGCATTGATTATTAATTAGATCCAGATGGTGATGACGATACAAAGAGGAACAACAAGTGCTATTTGATTTGGGAGGTGAGTGTACACACATTTTAATTATTTTGTTTCGTGATTTCATTCAAGTCTAACGATTCCTTTTTGTTCTCCAGGGCACAGCTAAAGACCGTAGTTTTGGCGACATGAAGTTCAAGCAGTGCCCCACAGAGAGCATGGCCAGAGAACACTTCAAGAAACACGGCACAGAACACTACTGGGATCTAGCTCTTAGCCAGAGCGTGTTGGACGGCACAGATGATTGAAAGCTGCCTGGAGAGCATGTAGTTTGAGTCAGCGGCCCCCTCTACAGCCAGGTGGCCCTCACTGCTGCCTTCAACTTGGGACAGACTTAATCAAGAGACTTGAACATAGAAAAGGAGGAACAATAAAAACCTGTGTGGATGTTTTTGCAAGAATGTGTAACAGATCAGGGTTTCTGTAGGACAGTATATGTGTGTATGCCTGCATCAGTGTTCATCTCTTTGGTGGTAGGCTATTCTGTCAGGTATGGTGTTATTTGTTATTGAATAAGATCTGACAGATTGCACTGTGTGATGTAAATCACTTAACCAAGGCTTTATGTGATGAGGAGAAATGGTGTCAGATTATTTCATTTTTGTGATGAAACCCCTTTCCCACATACTCTGACAATAATCCCTGTTTGAGTAAAGCAGTTAATAAAAAAAAATTAAAAAACACCCCATCAGTGAATAACTGCTAAACCATTTAGGTAAACCTGGAAGAATTCCGAGGTAATGTTACAACATTGTTAAAAGTTATTTTAGTCAATACAGGTACATTTCAGATAATTTCAGAACATTTTTTTTTGTTTGAGAAACGAGAAAATCTTTCAGTCACCTGTAGCTATATTTCTCTGTAACGTTACACCGCCTTAAATAAACAACATTTAACCGACTTCTGTCCCTTTTCCCGTCAGTTGGGATCGTGTCCGCTGATTAAATTACTTAAACTATTATAGCGTTGTATTCTGTGTTTTTGTACAGTTATAAATATTATTACCTCGTTAAACTTAAACATGGGGGCGTGTTTTTGTCCGTCCTCATTACGTTAGCGCCATCCGCAGTAGCAGCAGCAGCAGCGAGCGATCCTCAGATAGTGTTGGAAAGATGGCGGCCGGTTCTGGGGCTGCAAGCGGACACGGACCCCGCAGCTCCAACGTCGCTCTGGAGGCGTCTTTGGACCGGCGGTTTCAAGGAGTTTCGAACACTATGGAGTCAATACAGGGACTTTCAACCTGGTGCATTGAAAACAAAAAGCACCACGGCGTCATCGTTCGCCACTGGATGAAGTGGCTCAAGAAATGTGAGTAGCTTGACACAGCCTAACCCGCTAGCTAGCTTACTTTAGCTACTTCAAATGCATTTCTGCGTTCACCGTGATCAGCTTGCACAACTCGGCAGTAGCTTTGCGTGAAGTGTAAAGCAATTTAGTGCACCACAAAACGCCCATGAATAATTTGTAAAGTGAATGTTTAAATTTCAGTCGACCGCGTTTTACAAAGAGTGGCGCTGTAATGGTTACTTGAAAACAGCCGCTCATGCTAGCTAAGCTAACGTCTCGTTTCGGTCTTTAGCTTTAGCACTGTTTACAGTTGGGCCTAAGTTACCCGGGTTCATGGTCTGGACTGGCTGATTATGCGAGATAATCAGATAAAGGTGGTTACAAGGAGTTTAGTTAGATTTAGTTACATGTCAGTTTTAGCTTTGTATTTTGATTTGTGTGCACGTTTATCTTTAGCTGACTGTTAACATTAGTCGTTTTAATATGCATGATTGTTGTTTGATGCGAGTCAGTGGCTAAAATTTTTAGTATATAGTTTTAGAAGATGAAGGGAAAGTTCAATCTAACCGAAATTATATTTCCTATGTATAAGAAAACAACAAGGTGCTAGGAGAGACATGCCGAGTTAAATTAAACCACAGTTTAATGTAAATTATTCCCTCAAAGTAATTGTAAAATATCAAACTGTTTGCACTTAAACTCCTCAAGTAAATGACAAATGTAATTATTACAACTATTAAAAATTAAGTTGACCAAGCAGGTTTGCACATTCACATTAATTGGTGGTCCTAGTTGGTTATGTCAAACTTAAAAACAAAGCAGGTGTTTTGGGTATGTGACCCATGTCAGTGAAGTTAACAGTGTCCTCAGCCCATTTTTAGTGCGTACCATGTAATGTTAACTTACTTGAAATGAAACTAGCCTAAACCATGCATTGATATTGACTAAGATTTAGTGAAAGTAGTGGGTTAAAGAACTAGGATATTTACGGAAAGCACTTTTTTTTTTCAATACTCAACATAGAAAATGCACAGCAAATGATTTTCAGTAATACGTTTTGAATTAAAGTAGACCAAAGTTATATTGGTTGAATATTCTTTCTCTCTTTATGGTGTTGAGAAAATCTAATATAATCTCACAATCTTGTGTTGTCATACATATTATATATTACATAGAGCGGTTAGACTTTACAACAGGGTAATCAAAATTGTTATTAGTTACAAAGAAATGAAACGGGAATGATCTGATCATCAATTAGTTGTTAATAGTAGTTCCTGATTATCAGATAAGTAAAAAGTGTCACTGGGTAGCCCATTTCTAATTCAGGGTGGTTGTCCATTCCCTGAATAATCTGTTCAGTCATCTATATTATTTAGCTTAATGTTGGAATTTACAGTTTGTCTGCATACTATTGATAGGATAGGTGGGCCTAATGGCAACATTATGCCAGTCCAGTATTACGATTACTGCTTTATTAAATAGACATTACAACACAGAACCCATCTTGCAGCAGTGTCAATTTCCTTCACATAGCTCTGGTTTATGAGGTATTGGGAGTCCTGCATGTAGTATTTAAAATACTTGTGATAAGATGTCCAACTTTACTATTAGGATTAGATGTAAGTTAAATATTACTTCTTACAATTTACATGATACATGTAAATGAGCTTAATTTAATAAGAAAATAACCATAGATGTCATTTGCAAATAAGGGTTCTTTGGAGGAGTTGAAATGGAGGTAACACAGTGGTAAACGCCACTGAACTGCTTTTACTTCTTTAGCTTGTCGCCAGTTTATTGGTTATGTCTTCACTTGGTTGTTATGTGAAATCACAGGTCATTTTGTCTGTTATTGTGGTCTCTATCCCCCCTAAAGCTGATGCAGCTTTTGGAGCAATGGTGTTGGGTAATGTAATGTGTAAAGATTACTACTGTAATCCCTCTCCCCTGCCGCCCCACCACCTGCCCCGCCCTGCTGGTATCCGTTCAAAACATTGTCGGACCAGCAAGATTGCCCAGTAACATTGCTCAAAAAGTTGCCCCATGTATCATCAGCTTAAGACTCGGCCTCATGAATAATATGTCCGATGTTGCTATTCTGAACATGTGGTGTTATCATCTTCTTATGTACAACTAAATTATGTATGTAGCTGTCTTATAACAGGTTTACAGAAATGTGTGTTGCAGAAAGCAAGAAGCTTAAAAATTTGAAGGGAAATTATTGTGTTATAAGCAGACTTGTTTCTAAAACCTGGAGTGATGAATGGTTCAGTAGCATTGCAGATTTCATCAGCTTCTCAGCTGAGTGTGGGGAGAACCAGGAGGCAACGGAGTACACCACATATATTTTGCTTTGCCCATTCATGTTTGTGAATGCACGAATAAATGTAATGAATGTCGCTAGTGCTTGATGAAGGAATAGCTTTAATATTGTTTTGTTTTTACCAGAAATTGGACATTTTGTCTGTTGGTTGACGACTTTGTCAATCCCTCCAGGAATTATTTTTTTTCTTTTCTTCTGTTTTTGTGTAGAATAAGTTTGTATTCCCTACGTTGACTAGGATTTAACCTAAATAGGGAATCTTTTTATATTTACTCATCACTGTGGCAGGTGTTTTTGGAAAGAAATGCCAGTTGGTAGTACGATGCTTGTTTTGTGTGCGGATCGATGGCCTTTTAGCATGAAGTGAATATCTAGAAGCTGTTATATAATAGGGATGCTCCGATACTGATATCAGATATCAGCACGATACTGACTCAGATAGTTGGATCAGGTATCGCTGACAAGGATGCCGATCTATTCAATTAGGTACATCCTGGGCCATGCGTAAGCAGTGCGCTAGTAGACCTGAATAGCTGGATCAGGCATCCATTTTATATACCAAATCAAATATTTGTTGTTAATTTTTGGAGCAGCATTTAAAAGACTTGCTTGAGTTTTGTTACTTGATGTTAATTTGGATGTTTATATGTATGGAGACCAATGTAATGTGATAATATAGGCAAATTTACATGAAATAGGTGCAAGGAGTTGTTGTTGTTCACACTGTCCATTTCCAACATGAAAGTGTTTGTTTCCAAAACAATCCTCACCCAACATATAATTTTTATAAGCGTGAAAGTACAAATAATAATAATCCACATTATGGAATCACCACTGGGGGAATGTGGAGTTTCTAGCACAGTCTCAAAATTTGGCTGTTCTTACTATACCCTGAACTTTATGCTGCAGGTCTGCCAGATAGGCTGCAGCAGTGCAGCATTCTTAGCTTTAAATTATTTTAGGGGGTTTCTTGTTGAATTGCCAGTGTCTCAGGCAAATCATTATATAGGCATTTTTTTATCCCTCCTGCATCACTGCCTGCAGAGCAGTGCATGATAAAAGCTTATGCTGACAACACAGTGAACTGCTGCGTGCTGCCTGAGCCATTGTTTTCCGATGCAGAGCAGTGCCAGCTAACCAAGAAGCAATCTACTGATCATCATTTATTGCTGGCTGTAGACTCTGACAATGTTGGGTTCCATCTCCAAAAGTCTGGAGATGGAAAAGGATTTTTTCTTACACTGCAGAAAACCACTACTTTGCGTTAATTTCATCACAGAAGACCAAAAAGCTCTTCTGTGACTAAGGAGAGCGTCATCATATATTGTCTAAATACCCACAGTATACCTTCAGCACCGCTGCCAACATCAACATGCGTCTCTGGAATATTTGATATTTATAGCATATGTTGTGTTTTGAATACTAGAGGTGCACCAAACAAAACTGTAGTATCAATATTTGTGCTTGGCAAGTTAACTTGTTTAATCGATCCTTTATGAAGGCACTGCAGTGTTTATTCCACGAGATAATAAAGATGGTCCAGTGTTAGTTGAAAAATGTTACTTTCAATGAGGATGATAAAATGCAGGATGCATACGTTTAAGGTACAGTATGGTTTCATGAGTACCGTTAGTACATTATAGCACAGTGTTATGTTTTAGGATAGGTTAAACAGAATTGACCGCACATTCACATCTAACACATTACTCACAAATACAAAGATTATCAATATAATTACTACCCGAAATCAATTCTTGGCATCAGATGATTCGTTTAATGTAGTTTTGTGATTGCGATGGATCTGAATAAAATCTGCTGTGTGTAATATCAAAAGGGAGCAAAACAGTACTTTTGAAATGGGGAAATAATATTCTGTGTGTTTTCTTTTGGATTTTATGGTTTCACAACTATGTCTTTAATGTATGCATGTATTTGAAATGAAAACAGCCTACCCCATGTATTGATTTAGGCTAAGATTAAGTATTTGAAAGTATTGGGTAAAAGCAGTATGATATTTAGGAAATCACCTATTTTAAATTACTTTCATTGATACATATTGAACTTAAATCGACCAAAAATTAAAGTGGTTGAATATTCTTTCTCTTTTTTTTATGGTGTTGAGAAAACCATACATCTAATATAATCTAACAATCTTGTGTTGATGTTGTTTTAAATAAATGTGTATCCTCAAGTAAAGTGATAGTATACGGATAGTTGCTAAGTAATTCTCCTTACCTCATGAGTATGCCCCCTCAACTTAAGTGGTATAAAGACCATGTACCACTTAACCTGAGGGTGGGCATAAAAGGTAAAGTAATGGTCAGGTAAGAAGGATTACTCAGTGTAAGATAAGCGTAAGTTATTTAATGTTAAACCAATCAATCACAGATGTCACTTCCTTTGTAAGAACTACTCATAGCAATGATATGTCAACTTTTGGCAGGTATAATACTTGTTGTTGTCAGTTGTCATTCTTAAAATGTTTTATATACACTGAACAAAATTATAAACGCAACACTTTTGTTTTTGCCCCGATTCATCATGAGCTGAACTCAAAAGATCTAAGACTATATGTACACAAAAGGCCTATTTCTCTCAAATATTGTTCACAAATCTCTTAAAATCTGTGTTAGTGAGCACCTCTCCCTGAGATAATCCATCCATCGGACAGGTGTGGCATATCAAGATGCTGATCAGACAGCATGAGTATTGCACAGGTGTGCCTTAGGCTGGCCACAATAAAAGGCCACTCGAAAATGTGTTGATAGATATATAAGAATAAAAGTACAGCTGATTGCTGTGTTTTGTGCTGGATTTGTGGCGCTCCAAACACTCCTGTTGCCAACAGGGGAGTTGCAGAGGGCCCTCTGTTGGATGAACTATGCAACAACAACACTCATAACATGATTGAAGGATCGGCCTTCCCCCTACTCCGTTCATTTTTAGTTGTCATTTATGGGTTGTTATTAACACCGGTACCAATTTATTTATCTGCAGTTAGCTAGTTTTCATTCTTTCAAGTGTTTTGTAAACTCTGTGTTGGATGGTGGAAGGGAATTAGATTTATGACAAATCTTCTGTAAAGATACTGTAATTTGAGAAATCTATCATTTTGATGTCATAGCTGTCTGTATGTTTAAGTGATTCAGAGTGTTTGGCCTTGTATGTGCATGAAAGTGTATTGAGGTTGGGCAGAGTTTCCCCTAGGATGGAGTTGTAGCAGCAATAGTAGAAGCGTAGTATGTCTGAATATAAAATAGATATAGAAAGTAGCCTAATGTTAAGTAACATAGTAGCTTAAGACACAGCCTGCAGTATAAGCCTCTGCAATTTTGCTCTGGAATCTGAAGCGGAGGGGAGAGGTTTGCTAGCACAGTAGGCTAGATTAACTGCCAGAATATTTTCGCGTTCACCGTCACTTTGTGCCGCTCAGAAAATCAAACACTCGCTACACACCTCCCAATTCGGAGTTACGCTGCTCTCTTAACAGCACCTGTCACTTAAATGTCCTTTAAAGGGATACTATGCGATTCTGTAGAGAGTTATATAGCAGAATCCACAGCGTCTGCTGTCCGAGAGCATGTTAGCCTCAATAAGAGGGTATGTTTTAGCAGCACTGTAGAAGGTGTGACAAAAAGCCTGTCAGTATTTAATGTATAATTATGTATTGAAGCAAAATACTTTTCTAAGCCTAAATCTAAGATACGGAGTCTAGTTTATTTATCGATAGGAATATCGAGAGGAACTTAAATAGTTACAATTAGTGAACAAACGTCATTTAACGAACGACATGTAAGCACACAAACGCAGCATCCAAAACACAGCAGAGTAAAAAACTAGCGAGTTATTTGAAATAGTTTTTACAAAAACACAGTGACTGATAAAAGTTCAGGTTAGCACAGTCTCCCCGACTGTTTTTATACACGGCCGAAGTCAATGCTAACTTTGGGGCTAACCTCCTTCACTTTATTGAACAGTTGGCAGCAACACACGGGAGCTCCTCTTTAGTCCTGAGAAGCTGCAGTCTTTGTTCGCCAGCCTCTGTAATTTATACTGTACATTTACTGCTGAACAAGCCTTATTGCTGACCCGTTTCTCTCTATTCACCGGGACACCGTTCACGCACACGCTCCGTTTATTCGTCCTCCACCACACACACACACTGACCACTGCGGCAAAGCTAATCAGCTGGGATCATCACAAACATGACAACAGACAAACAAGACTGTAATAGCCTACTGAACCTGTCGTTTATGTGGAACAGCAAAGCTAACGTTAGCCTACTCACCCGTCCAGCAGAAACAGAGGACCTCAGCATCGGTTTTCATTCCTTTCTAGTCTCGTAGATTTATCCAGCATTGAAACCCCTCACAGATGTTAACACAGGTCTTCCCCTTGCCTGGCCATATAACTTGTCTCACAATTCCTCAGACCTTTCCCTCTTTGGCTGTTTCTCAGCCATCTTGACAGCTAAAGTCCCGTAAGAAGCATGTTCAAATGTACCGCTGTTTGTTTACATTGTCTCTCTGACTGCTTCGAGCTCGCCACCGCCACCTGCTGCTCGCTCCGAGCAGCTTTGTTTCTGCTCAATTTACAGACCCCAGGGCTGTGTAGGAAAACCGGATTTTTTTTTTCAGAGCACACGAAAAACGGAGAGCTACCAACCCATGAGGAAATATTTGCTGAATTTAAGTGTATTGGATAAGAATCGCAAAGTATTCCTTTTACAGAATGGGGAGAGGAAGCGAGCCAAGCGACGAGTGTTACCGTACTCGCATATTGTGTGAGTGAAAATTAGTAGCACATTGATATAATTATGATTGTGTGAAATTTTAGAAGCGGTGGTCGTAACATAGCAGCGGCGCACCGCCGCTCATGAATGCATGTAGGGGAAACACTGGGTTGAGTTATTGTCTGTTGTTCAATTATTCTCAAGTGGCTGGATACAGCTCACGAAACACGCATTATTTGAGGCATTATTGTGAATCAATGTACGGTCAGTCTGATTGTTTCTCCTTATTGGGTTTAAATAATTTTTAAAATGGGGGTAATACTGATTCTAATATTTATTAAAAATATTTGAAGAAACTATTCTAGAAAGGGATCTCTTAATGTGTTGTAAACAGTGAAGAGCATATTTGCATATTGTCTGTGTGTATGTATGTGTGTATATATATATATATATATAATTTTTTATCGGTGTTAATAGTAACTTATGTATATGATGCTCTGTTGTTTCTGCACAGTTTCTGTTTTTGCATTCTTTCCTTCTTGCTTTTTGTGGAGCTGATTTAATTAACATATGTACAATTTGCACTTTGCATAGACTATAGCAATGATTTGCTGGTGAAGTATTCATCTTTTAGACTAACTGAGATGTTAACCTCTGCTAAAATGTAACAAAATGTGACATAAGATACATTGACACTGCAGGCCTTAATGCTTAATTCAGATTTATTGCCAAGATCTGAATTTTTTTTTATTTTCCTCCATTGACTGACATATAAATGTGGCCCATATAAGACTCATGTGGCCATGGCCTGAAAGTGACTCGCATGCGCAAAAGAATTATAAGTCACACGCAGCATGCTTTTGTATGCATTAGGGCTGTACATAACGATTATTTTTCAGATCGATTAATCTATTATTTTTTTGATTAATCTAACGACTAATTTTGTGTATTCTAAAGAAAAAATGTTGCCTATTAATCGATTAACATACCATTTTATCCAAAATAAATATCAAAAACATGTCTAATCAATAAATATTTTATTCAATCATCCTGGTTAAGCACATTAGAATGACTATAATAGCATACCTTAAAATGAATCCAATTTCCACGTCACTGTGGTGTTATTATAACAATAACAGACATTAGGCTACTTTACTTAAAACTTTAAATGTTTCTGACATGGATTTATTTTTAAATTGAGTAATGCAGTATGATAAATGTATTTCTGCATCAGTTATCATACTGCAAAGAAAACTGGAACGATTCACAGACTGTACAGACGGTCACATATTGTCTGTAATGTTAGATTCAGCTGTTTTCTCGCTCATACATGGCTTTTAAATAAACAGAAAATATAAAAAAATAAAGAAAATAAAAACAGCTGAATGTTAGATAACACCTGGTGTAACGTTATACTACCATGACAGCAGTGGGGCAGAAGAAATACGTGCTGATAATGTGCCGTGCTTGTGTGGAGACAGAAAGTTAACACGATTTGCGGTGCTGCCGTCTGTGTCCACCAGGTTACTTTCGTTTCACGTGTTGATTCTGATTCACGTATTCGTGGAAAAGAGTTGTGCTGCAGTGAAGCTATTTCCAATTCAGAGCTCAGAGAGCAGCACGTTGTTGAGTGTCTGTCTAAAATACTCCCAACCTTTAGACGATCGTAGGCGCAGTCTTGTTGCTGGAGCTTGTCCAGGGGAATCCCTGCTAACACCGGATGCAGCGACGCTTCGACGCATGTAATGCGAGTCAACATATTTACGTAATCGATTATCACCCGAGCCCTGGTATGGATTTAAACATGGAGGCCAAAGTGGTTAGCGTCTACAGTTTTATTAAGTTGATTTCAGGTGTAAGAAGGGGAATTCATGAGCAGATGATGGGCAAGGAGAAAGAGAGGCTTTTTGTCGAGCGATTCGTTTTACACTTTATTTCCGCTAGTCTTTCTGTCACACACCGCCTTTACAAGCAAAAAAAGTTCAAACCCCCCGACTCCAGCAAAAGTGATTGATAAAAATGAAATCATTAACAACAGGGGCGATTGGAATAAAACACAAATTCAGGTTATCAAAATAGCCTTGCTTGCAACGCTGTTTCTATTCACTGACAGTAATTGATTGATGGATAGATCAGAAGGCCTAAAAGGTTTTGGGATGAAGTCCAACTGACATTGAGGGGCTGAGATATTAGTGTATATGATGGTGCACAAATTTTGTCTGCCGCATTAAAAATAATGCTAATATTATAGCCTGATACTGATTTTGATATGAGTTGTTTGCATAAAAATTCAGATGAGATTTTTATTTTTATTTTTATTTTTTACAAAACACAAGCTAAAAGAACAATACGTTTCATCACGATCCACAAGATTTGATTTCTAAATTAATGTTACCAAGATATGTACTCATCATCATACATGTCTGACATGTACTCTAATACTAATACATCTGTGATAAAATAACATTGTACCAATCAATTTATCGGTGGTGGTTGTTCAGCTATAAAACAATCACCATATGGATATCAATTCTTTCAAGTCTTGCAAAAAAATTTAGTAAAGTTGGAAGTCAACATGTATACAATAAAATTGGAATATTTTATTCCCAAATATCGGCATCAGCCGCACAATGCCAACACAGGCTGGACATTTTTACTTTTTTTTTGTAGGAGGAATTTAGTCTGTAAGCATCTGTGTACCCAATAGGAAGAATTTAAACCCTTAATCTTAACCTTCATCTGCTTTGTTTCAGCTGACAACAATCACCGCTTGAATCTCTTCTACCTTGCCAATGATGTGATACAGAACTGCAAAAGGAAGAATGCCATTGTCTTTCGTTCATCCTTCGCAGAAGTCCTTCCTAATGCCGCACAGCTCATCAAGTGATTACAGTTTTTATTCAGCTGTAGTGTTGGACCAACACTAAATATGTTTTTGTTTAATGTACATGGCTGTTTACTGTTAAATGTCTGGTCTACATTTTATGCCTGTCCTCCCTTTCTGTCAGTATTGAGATGTGTAATTTTGTGTTGTCATTTTTTGGTATTGTCAGAGACGCGAAGGTCCGCAAGTCGGTGGAAAGGATTTTTGTGATATGGGAGGAGAGGAGCGTGTATCCTGAGGAGGTCATTGCCCAGTTCAAAGCCAACTTGAACAGAAAGGAGAAGGAGCGAGAGAAGCAGAAGGAAAAAGAGAAGGAGAGAGAAAAGGAAAAGGAGAAGGAGAGAGAAAAGGAGAAGGAGAGAGAAAAGGAGAAGGAGAGAGAAAAGGAGAAAGAAAAGGATACTCCACTGGCAAATGGTCAGTTCGATACTTTTCACTCACACCCTGAAGTAGTCATGTTAATCAAATCTAAAAGTTAAATAACTTGCTAACATTTATATGTTATATGTACATTTGTATGTTATTAAGTTCATGCTTCTTTTACTCACCAGCCCCAACAAACACCAAAGCTGCCCTCAAGTCCAAGATTGTAGCAGAGTTCACAGTAAGTCTTGTTTATTGTTGTTTTACTGTTTGTTCTCGTCACGTTGTCTTATTCTATTTGCAATAGAATGGGTCTAAAGCATTGTAATTGCTGTCAACTTTATTCATTTGCTTTATTCATTTCCTTCTTTTCCAGCCCCATTCCCTCATTGAACAGTTGTCGAGGTATAAGCGAGCAGTTGCAGAAGAGGAGTTCAGGGAGAAGCAGCTGGCAGCTCTCAGGGTGGATGTATGCAGCACGGAGGCTCTCAAGAGACTTAAAGGTCAGATGTCACCGAGCTTATTTATGCCACATCACACACATATTGTCCTGTGTACTGTCTGAAGCCAAAAACACATTTGATATCTGTGTCCTCTTCATGACATGGCATGAAGACGACACAGATATCCCCTCTGATATGGGGATTTTAAGACCAATTTTGATATAACCTGATAATCCAATACAGCGGTTTTCTTTTCAGAAAACAAATAACATAAACAAGATTATCGGTAACATTTGTAATGTGTAGTTATAAAACCTCACCAGGGTAAGATGACATAATGCAGTTTAAAAAACTTTTTTATTGTTATAAATAGTATAGCTGATTATGTCAGCTGATTGCCGTGGTATTACAGTTTGTTGACAACAGTTGCAGAGTGCCATCTGGTGGACAAACTATGAAACGACACTCAAACACCCATAAGAGGAGTGAAGGCTCCGTCCTCCCTCTCAGTTTCTTTTTTTAATTGTCATTTATTCATTGTTATTAACACAGACATCAATTTATCTACAGTTGGCTCATATCGCTCGATAACATCAGCACGCCAATTTTTCGGCTAGGCTCTAGTCAAAACACACTTTCACACTGATAGTGGAGATGTAATAGGAGTATTTCTGCAAATATGTCCTCAGTAAAAAGTATTTCCAACAAAATAATGATTATCCTCAGTAAGCAGGATATTGTTTCTGGAAAGATGCTGCTGCTGCTGGGTTTTTAATTTTCTGATGTGATGAGCCCCAGCACTGACCCTTTAACTGTTGCTGTTGGTTCAATACATGTGTTCTGCTTTAGATTTTAAAACAGAGGGAACATTGAGTTTTCTGTCACTGAGGATTGTCTTTGGTGAATGCTTTGTGTTTATGTTAGGTGACCCGATACTGTTTTGGGAGAAAACGATGTTGCTGCTTTATTGAAATTAATTAACATCTTACATTCCAAATTCAGTTTCAGAAGTCTTAACAAAGGTTTTTATAAATGTAACTTTTATAAACCTTGAATCTAACTTTTTTGCTTGTTTGTGAATTGTCTCCAATTCCAGACAAGGCGGGAGGGAACAAGTTTGCTAAGGACGTTGAGGATGGCAGTCTGAAGCTGCAGGAGTTTGTTGGCTTCCTGGACAAAGAGCTGAAAACAGGGCCTCCTCTGCTGGAAGCTTTGGGAAATGCAGACATTTTCTATGAAATGCAGTACAAGGAGGTTAAGATTGTAGCCAATGTGAGTGTTTAGTCTAATGACATCATCATGCTTAGAGGGTGCTATGGTGAAACCTAAAAGATTGTTTATTTTTGCTCTTGTGGTGAGAGATGGAATATAGTTTGGCAGACAATTAGTTTGTCTGGTTAATTTAAGTGGCACAGTTTTTCTATTTAATAGAAAATTCATTAACAAAATGGTGAACCAGACATTTACTTTACAGATATCGATAACATTCTCCTTAACTCCCTCATATCACCTGTTTAATTCTGTTTCCTCTACTCTCTTTCTGTCAATCTGCTCAGGCGTACAACGCCTTTGCCAACCGCGTGGCCAGTCTTAAAAGGAAATTGGATTCCCTCAAGTCGACTCTACCTGGACCTGAGGACTCCCCCATCCCCTCACCCTCTGAAGATGCCCCCTCTCCCACTGGCTCTGAATCACCCTTCCTGGGACTGGGGGCTAGCAGAGCCCAGGTGGATCCAGAGCTGGATGGCAAGGCCATGGATGAGGGAGAAATACCCAGCGACAACAGAGACACGGAGGACATGGATATGTCTGATGAAGAGGCTGACGTCGCCACAGCAGGGGGTTAGTGGCTATAGAGTGTTGTGTAGTGATGTGATAATTGTCCTCTCCATATACATCCATATTAGGCTGCCCAGTGGAATTGTTGTGTGAATCAGACTTGAAAATGTATCGTCTTTTTTGATTTATTTTTATTAGCAGATGACAAGAAAGACAAGGCGCCTGCTGCTGTTGCCAAGACTACAAAGTCAGACACAGCATCAAAGCTTCCCACTATACCTACAAAAGCTTCTAAGACCATAAGTGCTGCTGCTGCCACGGCCACCCCAGCGACCCCCACCTCTGCTACCGCTCAGAGTGCTCCAACAACCCCTCTGGGAGTCAATCTGGAGAAGGTGGACCTGGGGAAGATCAGTTCCATTCTCAGCTCACTCACATCTGCCATGAAGAATACAGGTGTGTTCAGGGGTTGGGAGGGAGATGAGTGTCTGGGAGAAGACCTTGTGAGACAGAATGTAACACATGTTCTGATAAATTAATGAATTGTCAGCGATGGTATTTTCAGTTAAGCTACTACAGATGTGTTACGTGAAACTTGAACCTGAAAGTTTTCTCCCACAGCATCAAGGGCCTTGTGATTTTGGCCTTGATATTTGAAAATGTAGCTGACTACTGGCATGACACATTTTTAGGGGATATGAGATATTTATTATTTGACTGTATTTTAGCTCGAAATGGCTTTAAAAAATGTAATTTTTATTTTATTTTAGAAGATAATTATAACCTCTGCAACATAGTTTTGAGTTATTTAAATTGTGTATTGATCAGACCTTGTGATATTGACTCTAAAATGTTGAATATGAGACTGAAAAAATACATTTGAATGAAATTAATACATTTTATGCCATAAAGTGATTATTAAATTAATGTGCTTACAATGTTTGAAGTTTTATTGGACAAAAACAAAAATTGGTTTCTGACTTGGGGTAATAATTTGAGACATTTTGGATCAGATGATTATAGGAATAGAGAGTTGGGAGACATAGATTATGTATAAAGAACATTTAAACCCATCTCACTCTCAAACATGTCAATTTTCTCAGCACCTAGCCCTGCTCGGCCGTCTCCAGGGACACCCACCACTCCCTCTGGCCAATCGGCAGCCTCCAAAGCGACCCCTTCGAGCCCTGCCCTGGCCAGCATCCTGTCACGTGTTGACATCACACCTGAAGGCATACTCAATGCTCTGTCTAAAACAAACACAGCAGGTACCCAGCCTAGACGCCCATACAATACACTTAAATATTTCGTGATTTTTTAAATTTAGTAGATATTACTAATCATTTAATTTTTTCCAATGTCATCTCTTTTCTTTCTCTGACCCACCCCCAAACCAACCACCCTGTTTCTGTCTTGGTGCAGGTTTATCCTCTCTCCTGCAAAGTGTGACAAACACCTCTTCTGCTCTTCCCAGCCGAACCTCCCCAGAATCATCAACAGTTAAAACCCCAACCACCCCAAAAATAAAATCCACAGTGGGGAACAGCCTCAAACAAGACACACCTGGGAGAACCAGAGACTGGGAGAAAGAGAGACAGCAGTCCCCTCCCCCTCCTCCACCCCCTCCTTGTCTCCCAGCTGCCTCTGTCTCTCCCCCCAGCCTAGAATCTAAAATCAACAGTTTCTTGCAGGGTAATCCAGGTTTTAGTCTCGCTCTAGGTGATGTCAGCCCCGATGGAGTGGATGGGACCCCAGTGAGAGACGAGGCTGCTGGCACCCCCACCCAGGATGAGATTATGGACACACCTAGTAGTGTGCCAGAATCTCTAGGGTCATGCGGAGGTCATAACCTCTCACCCACAGCCTACCGCAGCGACCCCTGGGATGCTGTGATCACCCCATCGGGAAGCAATAGCAATGGAGACTTTCTGGGCTCCTCCTCCTCCTCCTCCTCTTCACGGTATGGAGCTGGGAAAAAGAGTAGCACAAAACACGATGACGTGATGAATGCGAGGAAGCGGGTCTCCTCCTCCCCCAGTCACGAGAAGGGTAAGAAAGATGGACAACACAGCCAGTTAAGGATGATGGGAAACAACAGAGCGAGTGGAGAAAGGAGACACTCTGCAGGCTCTCGTAAGGCAAGCACTGGCTCAGATGATGGAGGTCTGAGTGGGAAAAGAGAGGACAAGGGGTCTCCCAGTGTGGGTGGGAAGGAGGGCCAGTACCATCGTATTGAGACACTAGTGTCACCCTGCACCGAAGGGGCACCCATCCAAACTCTAGGCTACTCTAACCGGCCCCTCGCCGGAGAGCGCATCAAGACGGTAGAGAGCATCCGCGTGATTGGCCGCGGCTCTCGGCAAGGCGGAGGCCCTGGTGGTCGGCCAGGTGGAGCAATGTGGTATGAAGAAGAGGAATACATGGAAGCTCAGCCTCCCTCACCCCATGCTGTCCCCCCTCCTCATAACATTGGCCAGGGAGGCACTGAGGACATGACACCCTCTATGCCTCCTCCTCCCCCACATCTCCTCCTCTCACATCTCCACCTTCCTCCGTCCCATCCTCACTCACATCCTCCTCCCCAAGCTCAGTTCCAAATTCCCTACCACCCGGAGAACATGCAGACCCCTCTTCCATCACTCCTCCACCAGCATCCTCCTCCTACAGCCCCTTACTTCAGCGCTCCTCCACCCATCCCTCGACCCCCTCCTCCTCCCATACAGCAGCGTCCTTCCCCTCCACCTACGCACTCCACTGTGCCCTCTGCAGTCATGGTGGGGGGAGTTTTGGTCCCCGTTGGCAGTCCCCTTTCTCTTCCTCCCCCAGTCAGACCTGAAGGTTCAGAGCGAGGTGGCATGGGCCCCAGAGGAAGCAAAGTAGGCCCTCCGCCCCTCATGTCATCGTTGCTAGGCGAGCCCCCTAAACTGCCCCGTCCTGGCACAGTTAAAGAGCCTTTTGTTCCCCGCCATGCTGCCCCTCTCCACCGCCCAGGTACCCCTGGTGTTCCTCTGCCCTTACTGGGCAGAGTGAAGGAGCCTCTGAATCTACCTCTTCCATCCCCCTCTCCCTCTCCCACATCCTCCACACCCTCTCCCTCCACGCCTAATTCCCCTGCAGTCGACAATGTCCCCGTTCGCCTCCAAACTCAGTCCACTGCCCCGCCTCTCCACAAGCCCCCCGCTAGTCCTCCAGCTCAGCCCCGCAACCAAACTTCTAACCCTGTTCCCCTCCTCAATTTACCTAGTCCTCGACCCCCAATCCTCTCGGTTCCCATCCCACAGAGACCTCTGCTGCGAGGCCGAAACCCCTCTCAGCAGGTTAACCAAGATCACCACATAGGGGGGTTTCGTGGGGGCAAGCGGCCTGGCCCTCCATTCACAGGTGGTCCCTTCCATGCGCAGAAGAGACCCTTCCTACCCCCACGCTACTGAAGTGGTCATCTATGACATGCTGAACGAGAAGTGAAAACGCCCTGCACTGACGTGCAGAGTGTGTGTTAGCCCTGCTGGTATGAGCCCAGATGTCTTTACTCTGTTAATTAGGTGGAATTAAAACTACCTTAGGTTGTGTGTAAATAGCTGATTAAATCTTCATGCTTCAGCTAGGTAGCCAGCCAGTCATATTACATTGTACAGTGTGAGGTTATCAGTTACATAGTGCAGAGTGTTGTGTAACAACCCTCAGTCTATCACTTTTTCCATCTCTTCGTACACCATAGATAAAAGTTTTATTAGGTCTGGTGCAAGAGTGACAAACCCTTAGGAATCAAAGACAAGATAGTTCAAGCAGAAATGAAACTATTCTTTATTTAGAGTTTGCCTACCAGTGTGATTGAGGGTTAGTTTATTTCTGAGAGAGCGCATGAGAGTGAAAGAGACAGAAATGGGTGTCATGGGATACAGAGGAGAGAACCTAAAAGCAATAGTTTCAACAGTTTGGGAAATTAACTTATTTGCTTTCTTACAGTTACGTGAGAATCTCAATACCGCTGATATCTTTCAGCTACATACGAATCTATAGCCAGCAGCTGCTTAGCTTTGCTTAGCATAAAGACTGGGAACTAGGGAACAGCTACATGGATCTTTTCTAAATCTCACTAGTTAACACGTATCTCATTTGTATGTGATACTTGTGTAGAAATGACATGTTGGGGTTTTGCAGGAGATATTGTGCTAGCTGCCTGCCCGTTTCCAGTCTTTATGCTAAGGTAAGCTAACAGTCTCCAGCTTTATATTTAACAGGCACATATGTGATCTAATTCACAGCAGGAAAGCCAATAATGACATTTCCCAAAAAGTCAAATTAGTCTATTAAAAATGTCTGAAGTGATGAAAGTATGTTCCAAAGTAATCTCCTCTTGTATGAGTGTGTGCTGTGTGTCCTAAAATGGTATTCCTCATTTGAAATGATGAGATTTGTGTTGCAGCTGAGGTTCACACATGTTCCTATTTCAGGAGTACCTGCTGTAAATAATATTCCTCTTGCTCAACCTTTTCCACCCTTCCACTCTCTCACTGTATATCTCTTAAGCTTGTAAATATAAAAACTGAGATGATACAGCCTTTTCTCTTCAAGCTCTTGTTTCTGTTAATGAAGACCATGATCGTCACTCATGTGCCCTGTCTTTACTGTGATTGAGGCCTGAGATAAGCTTTAGCTCCAGAAGAATTTCTCTGCATTATCTGTCGCAGCTTTATGTCTTCCTTTTTGAAACCGCCATGCAGAAGAGGAGGGTGAAGAATTTTATTTTATTTTATTTTTTTAATTTTTTATTTCCAACAAAAATGTCTGCCTGTGCGCGCTTCAAGTTAGACCGAGTCATGAAGAAAACTCCATAGTGGAAGGCGGGTGGGTGGGTATTTCAGCCTGAACCACACTCTTGCTAGGCTTCAACATGTACTGACTTGAATAAAATCCAGAGTTTCAATTCAACCGGGGGGGGGGGGTATTTGGTGACTATCACTTGAATTGCGCTGTTGTAATTAATTTGCGCTGTTCAGCTGATTTTTTTTTTTTTTTTTTCTTCCTACCTTTTTTTTCAGAATTTTTTCCATATATTTACACAGCTGGTGCCATTTTCATAATGCATTAACATTTTTTGTGCTGTTTTTTTTGCTCTATAGAATTGCCAATTTTCCAGTTGCAACGGCACTCACAGATGGTATCAGGGGGGTGAAAACATTTGAGCTAATTAGGATTGTTTTGAAAATGGTTTATTTAAATACTCCAGTTATTGTGGCCCCTTCTGTTTTTTTTTCTTTGCTAATTTCATGCTTTTGCCCTCAAGCTCCTTGTGCTCACATATCCAGAAACACTTGTGCACCTCTAAACACTTCTAAGGGTAAAAAAAAAAGTCTTCACAATAGTAATCCTCCCTGTTGTGCAGGAGTCATTGCTGTAATGCTTCCCTCTGTTCTGCACTGATGTAGTTTATCCCACGCAGTGAGAGGTGCAAGTTGGGTGTTGCTGCTCAAAGCCTCCCATGTTTTTCTGATCATGGAGTGTGTGTGCTGCAAACGTTACGTATAAAGTTGGTGAATAGATACATTGTAAAAATGTAACAGAGCCTATTCCTTACTGCAGTGTTAGCCCATACTCAGATTTCTGATGTTCTGCTGAATGTTAAACAAGTCTGTTACCACCCTCTGTAAACTGTGTCTATATCTGAAACAGCTAAATATCAACCCAAATCAGTCTGGTGTGTTCACATTGCACAGATACAAAGCTAGATTAATTGTTATAAATATCTTACTGCTTCCCAACCACATACCAAGTTCAACTTTTTGTTTAAAAAATTTGTCCCTGTAAATAATTTCTCTCCGTTTTCTGTTGACCTTCTCTGACAAATTGAGTTTGAAATTGACTGAACTTGTGACAAAGCTGATGGTCTGTGTACATTTGATAAGTTTAACTGCTCTTATTGCTGTTATCATCAATGATGCTATATCTCTGGTCTTTGAGTGTCCAATCCTTTCTGGTGTGATGAACATGCACACATGCTCTTATTGTCACAGTCAATATTCATACTTAAAGGGGTGAATACATCTTCATTTTATTTTAAATTTATTTTATTTTTTTTACACAAAGCATATTGCAGAACACAAGGACAACTACACTTTTAGTGCTTTCATGGAGTGACTTGCATCCATTTCCTTCACATATTTAGTCAATCTGTCATTTTGTTTGTGGTTGCACCGTTAACTGTAAGCAGTTGGTGTTCTGTCTCAATTTAACAAGGGAGGTGATTTGCTGCTTTCTACTACCTTTCACCTCTTACAAAAACCCAAACTCAAACTTTTCTCTCAATACCTCCTTAAGGACTAATTGTTACTTTCTTTTTCTTTTCTTTTTTTGGGGGGTTGTTGCTAAACATTTGCATACTACAATGCACACTGTTGTTTGAAAAGCCACATTTTAGAAATGCAGTTGGAATAACTTTGTAACACTACTGGTGTCAGCTTTGCACATATGGGCCACATTTGCAGAATTCACTGAATACATTGTAAAATAGAAACTTTGATGCCTCAATTCCAGTGAACCAGCCACAACCTCAGTCACAACATTAACAGAATAACACTAAGCAATGGCTGTACAGCTATTAGTAAATAACTATTGTAATTTGTATAATGTATGGATGAATTCAGTTAATGCACTCATTTTGCAACATTTTGTCAGCTGCACTGGATATTCAAAGGAAAATGTTTCACTGTGACCTCACAGCTATTATTCTACAGTTAACAGTGAAAATATGTAGTTAATTGTACAGCCCAACTGTTTTGTCCTTGATGTTATAAATGTGTGCTGCATCTGCACCATTAGGCAAAACTACATGCTCTCCTGGTTGGGCAGTTATCAGATGAAGGCCAACAAGAGATCTTGTTTGTAAACATGGAAGTTGTTTTAAAACGAAGCTTCTACACACGTGTGCTTTGCACTACATTTCACCACGAACACAGTGAAGTGAGGGAGCATATACTGAAGGTGGTCCCATATTTTGAAATTCGCACAGGGGTCATCTGTGATGGGGTCCAGATTTGGCCAGTGATATCAATAATTATGGACCTTGTTCTTTTAGAAAGTACTGTAGCTCCCCCAAGTGGCAGGTCAGTGGTACTTAAGGCTCGTACGTCTTGAGGCAGGTACATCCAAGTCTAAATTATGTACTTCAGTACTACTGTTGGCCAATTATAAATGGTAAAACCAAAATATATTCACGACCCTGGTCAGAATGAACTGAGTTGTCTATTCACTTGTTTGACTTTGTCATAGCAGTCCACCTGAAGGTCATTGCTTGACATGACAAAGATGAATGCATTCAGATGTTAATAAGGTTAACATTTAAACACTTTTTACATTTCCACGGGGTAGTCTTTAAAGTGTGTCTATTATTTGAAGAGTAGCTACAGCGAAGCTTGTTTTCGTGAGGGTTATAATAATTGCATCAAGTTAGATTTTCTTACTTTACTTACAGATGTAAATGTCACTTAAGCTTCGGACTAACTAATAGGATATAATGCAGCTGCAGTTACTGCAGACGGCTCTTAAAGCAAAGTGCGCAGCTCCATTATGGAGCACATCCACTCCGTTGCTGCCGGTGTCGTAACGCTGTAGGTCGGTGTCTCTCTGTGTGTGGAAACTCTGGGTTGCACACCAGAGGTTCACTGAACTGCAGGCGCAGTTTAGCTGATCTCGTGCTGTGATGGATGGGCTTGTTTTGTGCTTCACGTGTCACCAACTCCCTAAGTATGAACTGTTTTGTTTAAATTTCATCATATCTTTAATCCTGTCTGAAATGCCTGACCTGAGTGTGCATGATGTGTTAACATCAATATATTACTTACTAGCCCTCTATAATATCTGCAGATGTACCGTGTGTGTAGCACCTGTGTGGACGCGCAGTCTTGTGTGGATACTCGGGAGCGCGCACGTTGCTCTAACGCAGCGTCATATATTCCGCCCCTGACGTAACCGCTGCTGCCCTAATCCGTGCTTCCGGTTTGTTATGGCCGCTCGCACTGGAGGGTTACAGTAATGTGGGATACTTGGAAATGACCGCGTGTGTTTAGACAGGTGTGTTTAGGATGGCGGTGACACAGCTGTTTCGACTGGTTATCTGTCGGTCGGCAGCTCGTGCGGTACTTCGCGCGCACAGGAGGTACAGCAAGGTGCGCAGGCTTGTCATTAGCGCAGTAACATTACAGCTAACGTTAGCCTCAGTACAATGTGAGTCTGTACAGAGGTGCAGCTGCTGCTGTTGTTGCTTATGAGATGTGGGAAACTGTTTTTATGCTGTAATAACCAAACTACCTAGTTAAGTAGCTAGTTAAACCTTATTTCTCTCTTTTTAATATCAGTGTTTTCTGTTATATAGGACAAACTTTAGCACTTAGTTTTTGGATAGACAGCAGTATGTGAAGAATTGAATATACAGTACAGTGTTATATATGAGTGACATGAACCCAACCATGTCCTCTACTTCTCCGTGCTCTCTCTCATGTGGTCATGTTGTTTAAGTCACAATATTCTTGACCAAATCCCTTCAAATTGATAATTTGGGGTAATGCTTTCAGAATTTCATCTGGTGAGAATAAAATCATCAACCTAATGTTTAGGCATTTTATCTATACATTCATTAATTACTTTTTTCATTTGTTTAACAGTAATTTAACTTAAGAGTGTGGTATCATTTACCATAATGCAGCCATTAAGCAGAGGAAAAGACTACAAGCTTTATCACATTATTTCATCACAATATTAATCAGCATCAGCATACATTCAGTCACCAGTTTATTTAAAATGTTTGCAGCGTAATACAACAGCCTAGCAGTAATGCCTTCATTCATGACGGTCATAATGCTCTGTGTGTGTGTGTGTGTGTGTGTGTTGCTGTTAAATTGGATTGCACTGCTGTCACCCTCTCATCCTTTCACCCCTTTTAACCTTTATCTACATCTTTCCTTCAGGTGTGCCCAGCTTTATCTGAGCGACTGCGAGTTTTTGAGACTCTCAGGGAGAAACAAGGCAATAAGAAGAGAGTTGAAGCTACAGAAGCACCCCTCAGCATCCGACTGGCTGACGGCCGGGCAATAAAGGGAACAGCTGGTGTCACAACACCTCTCTTTGTTGCTCAGAGTGTCCGGTAAATACTTACTGTGTACAGAAATGTTTTCTCTTATTGATTTTGTTCATACAATAACAGGGTTATTGAATCTCTCCTTGCAGTCTGAAAGGAGCACTGGTCAGTAAGGTGAATGGGGAGTTGTGGGAGCTTGGACGTCCCCTAGAGGCAGACTGCGAACTACAACTTCTTGGGTTTAACACAGTTGAGGGTAGACAGGTAATCAGTTCTGTTTTTTTTTAAATTATTCTTTTATGTTCTTTCCATTTGTCTAAAATGTACTGAGATTGTGTCATACTCACATATCCTTTAGGGTGGATCTTATAATTCTAAAATCTATTTTCACATCCTGAGGTCATGGAAGGAAGAATTGGTAGAATGAAACATAAGTCTGTAAAAGGCAAAATTGAAGGCAAGGCAAGTTCATATGTATAGCATATTTCATCACCAAGGCAATTCAAAGTGCTTTACATAAAACATAAAAGCAACATAGTGAAAAATGGGGGGAAAAAACACATTAAAATATAATTTTTGAAAGGGTGAAATAGAAATTAAAAACAGGATAAAATTAATTTAAAGAGTTGCATAGGAAATTAAAACAAGACAGTAAGTCACAGTGCAGTGTACAATATTAATCTACAGCCTTAAATTTGATTTAATTAAAGGCAGTGGTAAAAAGTCTTCAGATTTAAAAGAACTACATAAAAACTGAATACTGCTTCTCCTCATTTAGTTTTGGAGACAGAAAGCAGACCTGTCCCAGACGACCTGAGAGGTCTGGATGGTTCATAACGAAGCAACAGCAGTATTTTGAAATCAATTCTTTGACAGACAAGAAGCCAGTGTAAAGACCTCAGAACTGGAGAGATGCGATCCACTTGTTTGGTCTTAGTGAGGACTCAAGCAGCAGCGTTCTGAATCAGCTCCAGCTGTCTGATGGATTTTTTAGGGAGATAAATGCATGGACAAGTTTTTCCAGGTCTCGCTGAGACATAAGTCCTTTAATCATTGAAATATTCTTCAGATGATAGTAGGCTGACTTTGTAATTGTCTTAATGTGGCTGCTTAAATTCAGGTCTGAGTCTATGACTGCACCAAGATTTCTGGCTTGGTTTGTGGTTCTTAACATTGCCGATTGAAGCTGAGCACTGACTTTCAATTGTTCTTCCTTGGCTCCAAAAACAATAACTTCAGTTTTATCTTTGTTTAATTGAAGAAAATTCTGGTACGCTCCGCGCTTGTATGGGGTCATAGTTCCCTGGTGACATGGTTATGTAAATTTGTGTGTCATCTGCATAATTATGGTAACATATTTTGTTGTTTTTCATAATCTGAGCCAGTGGAAGCATGTAAATGTTTAACAAAAGAGATCCCAGAATGGAGCCTTGGGGAACTCCACATGTCATTTTTGAGATGAGATCCACTAATACTAAGACTGAAATTCTGCCACTCTCAGTGTTTAAATGGATGTCATTGAAGACCTTAACAAGAGCTGTCTCAGTGCTGTGGTGTGGTCGAAATCCTGACTAGAAGACATCAAAACAGTTATTTAGTGCACTAGAAAGCTCTAAGCTTTTTCATTGATTTTACTCAAAAAATAGGATATTTGATATGGGCCTACAATTGCTCATGAGTGACCTGTCTAGAGTTTTTCTTTCTCAGGGCCTGTGGGAAGAAACCTGAGAGAAGAGACATGTAATAAATTTGTATAAGATCTGAGGCCATACGATCAGAAACATTTGTAATAAACCTGTTGGCAGAATATCAAGGCAGCAGGACGAGGATTTGAGATGTTGTATTATGTTTTTATGGTTAATAGAATCAAATTGTCTCATGC